ACGTAAAGCCTTCATCTTTCAATATAAGATCGCCACCGGTCTCTCCACATAATTCAGGTGATCTTTAACCTGAATATCATCCAAAAGAACAATTGTTGACTCATGGGCCACACATTTCCGAAGCTGAGACACATGGAAGGTGTTATGGATCTAGCTGAGCTCATCAGGAAAATCCTGTAAGTATGTAACCTTGCCCACCTGGGCATATATCCTGAAAGGACCAATGAACCTGGGGCCCAACTTGCCCCGCTTCCAAAATCATATGACACCTTTCCAAGGTGACACTGTAACATCCCAATAATTGTGATAAAATTTTCATTTAAATTCATTCCTATCATTCGATAATCATGTCAAAACAGTCGAGAGTATATCATAGTAAAATAATATCATAGTACAAAATCTCAAAATCACATGATGCTGAAAACAGAGGTGGATGCAGTACGATCAGGCCTGGCCCTTCCCTTTCGAGCTGAGAGTACCTGAAACATATTCTGAAAATCATAAGCACAAAGCTTAGTGAGTTCCTCAAAATACTCCATACCATACATACATAACAAATAAGCATATCTGGGTGCTCACAACCCTTTTAGTCTCTTTCAACTAGTACTTGTATATTTCAACCCCTTTGGCCTCTTTCAACTAGTACTGGGTATATTTCAACCCCTTCGGTCTCTTTCAACCGCTACTAGGTTTATTTCAACCCTTTGGTCTCTTTTCATCGGTATTGGGTATATTTATACCCTTTCGGTCTCTTTCAACCGGTATCGGGTCTATTTCACCCCTACCACTACTAGATAATATCATAACAAAATAGTCACAGAGACATTAAGCAAATACAGGCATAACGGACAATTTCCAAGAAGATAATCATCATACTACAAGTATAAACGAGTGGGTCAAAATTGGTGCCTTCGACCCACAAATACAGTGAAGGAAACTCACCTTAGACTGAGATATCAACTCACACTCGAGCTGCTAACTCGAGAAATGCTCTCACTAAATCACAAGTAAAGAAATCCTAATTAGAAATTAGTTCAATAATCCAAATCGATAGCCCAAACGCTAAAAATACTGCTTAACCCTTGCTTTATTGGGCTTAACCCATCAAGGCCCAAATATAACTTGCTCCAAGGCCCAGAAGATAGACCATATCCAAAATGGGCCCAAGATCAGGAAGGCATACCACTGAAAAGCTTATCGCCCAAAAAAAGCCCAAGTCCCTAAGTTCGAATTGGCCCAAGGCTAAAATGCCCAAAATCCTCTCTGGTGAGTACGCTTAGGATACCAACAATACACTAGAAGTACTCACGACCCTCACATAGACGCGAGCGCAAGCGCATATGTGCAACGTACATTTAGGTATGCCTGACGTACGCTGCAGTTGGCCAAACCCTCCTTCTTAGGTCTTAATCAGTTAATACCTAACATCCAATTTTATATCTAAGCTTATTAAAGTGTATTAATCCATAAAGTTTCAAACATTATGCTTTTGCATGTCTTAATGGGACCCAAAACCCGATTTTATCAATCTAAACCCATAATATGAACATCAACTTAAGCATGATTCATCAAAACCCATCAAGAGGATATTTTTATGGTTCCTAATAACTCCATAATGGATAACATTTCCAACTGTATCCATTAGAATGGTCCAACCAACCAAGATCTAGTCTTCAAGTATCAAAGGGACCAAAAGTACATATTTTCCAACTTAATTCAGTAAGTCCAAGTCTCAAGCTTTTAGATCTGAATTAATTTTATGTTTAGATGGATAAAGTTTCTAACTTTATCCATAATAAGGTCACAAACTTTCAAGATCTAAACTTTATGCACTAAAGTAACCAAAAGCTCATTACACCCAAGAGTACCTAGATTTATCAAATGCATCATCAAGATTCAAATTTTATACCTCTAGAAGAAAGATCAAGGTGAACAAAAGTCTGGATCTACAAGCTCCAATGCAACCAACAATTCTCTAATGAGTTTCAACTTCTCCAAGATGCACCAAGAACACTCCAAAGCACTTAAAAACACCTTCTTTTTGCTCACAAGGCTCAAACTAGGGTTAGGATTTCAAGGTAGGGTGTTGGAGAGGTGGATGCTAAGAATGGAATGCATTTAGGGAAGTTAAGGAGATTAAATAGGGTTCAAACCACGGAAATAAGGTTCAACGTACTCCATGAATGCCTAGTACGCCGAACGTACTCCATGTATGCCTAGTACGACCAACATACTCCAGGTACGCCCAACATACTAGACTAAACCCCAAGGCTTGAAGCCTTATGATAACTAATCTTTGGATGATAGCCCCAAATTATGAAACGATTCGAAACAGTGTGTTATAGACACCTTTAGAAGCACTAAATCTTCTACCTAAAATTGGAGGTCCGAACGCCGCCAGTCTGCATAACTCTTCTGTCGGATCTACGCAACTTGCAGCCTATCGTGCACCTCCTGAATCAACTCAATATTCTTGATTACAACCTCTACACTCTTCATGACTCGATGCCCGACCTCCCCCCCCCCAAGAAACCAAGCCCTACACCTTCTTCTATACAAAATATCGAATGATGATCAGTCAATACTGGCATGATAATTGTTGTTGTAGGAGAACTCTGCCAGTGGAAGGTAAGTACCCCAACTCCCTCCAAAGTCTAGCACACAAGCCCTAAGCATATTTTCGAGTGTATGAATCGTCCGCTCGCTTTTGCTGTCAGTATGGGGATAGTATGTTTTACTAAAATACATCTAAGTACCCAACTCCTCATGAAACTTCCTCCAAAACCTAGAGGTGGAAGAAACATTCCTATCTGAAACCACCGAAACTGATACCCTGTACCGAACTACCACCTCCCGAACGTAGATGTCAGCTAATTTCTCAGTGGATATGCTCTCGATAGTCGGTATGAAGTGTGCACTCTTAGTCAATATATCAACAATGACTCAGATAGAATCAACACCATGTGATGTCCTTGGTAGCTTTATGATGAAATCCATTGTAATCTCTTCCCATTTCCACATGGGGATGGGTAAGGGTTGCATTTTGTCGTGGGGTCTTTGATGCTTGTCCTTGACTTTCATGGAATTTAAGCACCGCTCAACAAACCATGTTATATCCCTCTTCATACAGTGCCACCAATAGCTCAACCTCGGACCCCTATACATCTTCGTAGCCCCCGTATGGGTAGAAATGTGACATCTCCATTTTCACCGCGAATAAAGACCGATTTTGTTTATGCTTTATAAAAATCAGAGCACCTCTTTTAGTGAAAATGTTGCGGAATTTGTTCCCAGTAAAACATGATAAATACATTATCAAAGCATTTCTGAAGAAATGTATTTTTATTTATTTTAAAACATTTGGGATGTCATCGTCAATACAGAAACATAATCATAAACAGAACTTACATTCATTTACACTAGTGATCTACATCTCTTTAATCTCTTAGTGTAATGTAACTTTGTATCGACACATGTGATACAAATAAGCTTGAGTGGGTCAGGTTGGGAAACCTGGTGAGTACATATGGATTTCAATCTCACAATGTTATATCATACATATAATTTAGAACTCACAAAATATACAATTTCACCATATATATATATATATATATATATATATATATATATATATATATATATATATATATATATATATATATATATATATATATAGTAACTCTTACCCTACCCTGTTAATCCTTACAACGAGACTATCCATACTCTCGAACCTTAAATTTTACCTCTTACTTATCCCATACTCTTGGATCTAATTCATGCTCTCAGATCAATAATTTGTTCCCATTCCATACTCTCGGATTAGGGACAAGTGTCTATGTGTAAATCCATTCTCCCGGATTAAGGACGAATGATTATGTCCTATCCATACTACCGGACTAAGGACGACTGACTATGTCTTAATCCATACTCTCGGATCAAGGATAGTTGACTATGTCCAATCCGTACTCTCGGACTAGGGACAATGACTATGTCTAATCCATGCTCCCGGATCAATGACATATACTAAAGTTCTATTCTCTGAGTATAACTCACTCGTACTCGTAATAAAATACTGCCCAATATTCCTCATAATTAATTTAGATTTACTCTTTATCCTAAATCATCATATATAATCAGGTATGTTCTTTAACACGTATTCCAGGCAACATCAATTAACTCGCACATAAACATATAATTAATACTTCAATCAATACTTGTATTAAAATCGTGTTCATGAAAAAGACTATGCGCTCACTTGACAAGGTGGTGACTCGGCACTCGGACATCACTTCGTTACTGTTAAAACAATTTCCCTCGGACAAAACCTAGTATCATTACCACTAGAGTTTAGTCTAATGTTTGATGAGACTAATTAATAGTCTAGCTATTATTACTATTATATAAGCGTTAAACAATACTCTTAACCCATTATGTACAGACAGGGGCCAACCATTAAACATCGGAGGGCAGGTGTAACACCCCGTTTATTTATTTAATAAATTACAAAATTAATGAATGAATAGTAGCCTAAAATTTATAATTATATAGCAAGGTGTTGGTCTCAAGGAGCAAATTGTCACAATTTTAGAAGCCGGGGATTAAAAGTGTAAGTTTCAGACTCAGTTCTTAAATATTTATGAAGAAAGGGATTCTGTAGAAATAATTGGAACTTAAGTTGAACAGAAGGAGAGGTGAAGGGATTAGAAGCATTAATATAGTTGGAGTTTGATCATTGGACATAAATCGAAATGAATTTAGAATGTTGAGGGTTAAAAGAATAAATTTTGGACTTCTTGTGGAAACAATTTTTAGGGGGGGGGGGGGGGGGTTGTTATGTAAATTTCTAAGCATTTTGCAAGGGATTTCCGAGGTCAGGGTAGAAAAGGTAACATATGGACTCTTTTTGAAGAAAAAAGGGAGGGAGGGACCGAATAATTAATTATGGGAAAATGCTTAACCGGCTGCCTCCATATTTAAACAAGTGAACCCTAACCCTAATGTCAACTATTCCCAGCCACCACCTCTCCACCCTTATGCCTCCCCGCCAGCGCCACCACTATGTCGTCTCCTACCACCGAGCTGCCGCTGTACCACCCCATTGAAGACGGAGACCTCCATCTGATGTCGTGGCAACAAGAGATCTGAAGAAACCCACCTTGTAGCATCGTGGTCAATATTTCTGGTGGAACTGCCACCCTCTTCGTGCTCTTCTGCTCTGCCATCTCCTCACTATTGCTCAACCCACCAGTGATACCGTCACCGGCGAAGACTTGGATGAAGTAGAGATCATCGGGGAGATCAACGTTGTAGCCAGTGTTGAGACCATCGAAGGCGATGAGCCGCTAACAACCTCCTCCGTCGCTACTGCTTCACTTTTCCTTTTTCTTCTCCGTTAGATCGTCGAAACGCCACAACCATAGGCATACCTTATCCTCGCAGTTCCTGCCGCCGTTGATGCTGTCGCCATATCATGGTTGCTGCTGTCGCCACCCACTACATGTAAGTGTTGGGTTTATTTATCCAAGCAAGAGGAGGTGTGTGTGTTTCTGCCACTAGAGTGATTACCATACGTCATGGGTAGTGTGTCTTGGCCGGAGTTAAAGCCACCACCGCCAGGTGGTGGCTGCCGCCACATGTCATTGCCGACCACCACAAGGGTGGTTATGTGTGTGTGTGTGTGTTTATTTTAGTGTAGTGTATGTTATTTTGGGAATTCATTGTAAAAATTGTAAAAGCCAATAGAATAATGAAAGAGACCCTAACCACCACTGTGAGGTGGTGGCTGCCGCCACCGGCCGCCATGGGTGGCGGTGTGCTTTGCCTTGTTGTGTTGATTTGGTTGGGATGCTTGTAACCCTAATGGGACTAATGAAACCCTAAAGGGCCCAATGAGGCCCTAATTGACCTAAAAGCCCAATCATGTGACTAATGGGCCTGGTGAACCCTAATAGGCCTAATGGACCTTAATTGGGCTAAGATGTGGTTGGAAACCCTAATTAGGGTTTAGAAAACCCTAATATTGTACTTATGGGCTTGGATATATCGGGACCCACATTTTGGGCCATTGGAATGGAATTGTGTATTAAGCCCAATCACACCATATGATTTATTTAGAAGAGTGATGGACTTAATGAATTAAGTCCTTAATGGGTTAAGTGAGAAACACTTACCCTAATCGTCATTTTATGTGAAACCCTAATTTCACTTGAGTTTATTGTTGGACCTTTCTTTTGGGCCTTGGTGATTGGGTTATTAATTGGCCATCCAAGATCAAACAAATGGATTAGAATAATTAATGAGCTTTGAGGTAAGCCCATATGAGCAGTTGGGCCGAATTTGGAAAATTAGGCCATAGATGGGCCTTTATGGCCATAGTTTGAGCCTTTATGATTATGTGATATTGAGCCATTAGAATGTTGAATGTTGGACTGGACTAAATGGTTGGGCCTTATGGTAAGACCTTATAAGGGTTTGGGCCCAATTTGGAAAATTAGGCCATGTGTTGGGCTTTGACCCATAGTTGACTTTTGGGCCTTTAGATTGGGCCTTGGGCTTGAATAAAGCTAAGTTAGGGGTAAAGTAGTATTTACCCCCAAGTATGTATTTATGGTTATTTTTTAGAACCCAATTATTAATTGGGTGTTATTTTGATGTTGGAAGATTCGAGAATCTTTCAGGCAGCAGCCACAACTTTATCTGCGGGATTTCAGCAGTGTGAGGTGAGTCTCCTTACTGTTTATGTGGGTCTAAGGCACCAATGTCGGCCCATTTAGTTTATGTATGATAGGAAGACCCGGTGGCTAGCCCTAGGCATTATGCATGAAAGACCAGGAGGCGACTCCTGGCACACAGTATGTTATTATGTATGGTAAGAAGACCCGGGGGTTAGCCATAGGCTATATGTATGAAAGACCAGGAGGTGGCTCGTGGCGTACTGTATGGTATTATGTATGAAAGACCGGGATGTGGCTCATGGCGTACTGTATGCTATTATGTATGAAAGATCGGGAGTAGTATGTATGCTAGTTGTCTTTGTGATGCTTGCATGGAAGACCAGGAGGTGGCTCTTGGCACTTGTCTGTGAGACCGAGGGGGTGGCCCTTGGCTTTGCCAGAAAGACCATGTGGCGGCCCGTGGCGTAATGGCAAGACTATGTTTGGCACATAGCACCTTTACTAATTATGATTTATGTATGGCTCATGGTTATGTATGATAGTATGCGAGTATGTATTTATATGCTAGACAATATCCGGTTGAAATAGACCAAAGGGGGTAGGCCAGCACCCAGATATGCTAGGCAGCATGTTGATATGTATGGTATGTTGTATTTGGGGAACTCACTAAGCTTCATGCTTACGGTTTTCAGTTTGGTTTCAGTTACTTCATTTCCAAAGGAAAGTAGTCGGCTCGATCGCAGCGCATCAGACTATGATTTTCCGCACATGAGATCTTTGGGATTACACTCTGATATTATTTTATAATAACATGTTTTGATTACTGACACGTTGGTCTTGACATGTGATGTTATAACGAATGCTTTTATACCGTTGGTTTTATAATAACTTAATTAAAAATAAAAATTTTGGTCTTGAATATTGGGGATGTTACAACAGGATCATTTTGGCATATAGCACTTCTGAATCCAGCAACCCAAACGACCCTCCAAACCAGATTCCCTATACCGCGAGTGGTTAAAACGATATTATAACGATACTTATATAACTCATAATAATATCCCAAATACTCATTATAAGATCCTAATAACATTACTATGTTGAAATATAAGGTATACTAAAGATAGGTTAGGTTCACTTTCAACGGGTTTTCTCGAAAATCGGGCTTTGCTGGAGCAGCGTTTACGGACTGAAAGACCATTTTTTCTTAGGACTCCGGGAGCCTCGGGGCTTCCTTCAGGTGGTAGGGGGTTTACCTAGGCTTAGGGGGGTTAGGGGATAGTGAGAGAAAGTCTAGAGAGAAGGAAGTGAGAAATGAAGGTTGCCCTCGACCTCCTTTTATAGCCACCAGCTGCGGAGTTCGTTGGGCGTTCCTGCGAGGGTATACGGGGCATACCTCGTACGCAAGGTGCTTCTACAACCACTTGTATGAGCCTCCCTGGTGCAACGTGGATCTTCCGAAGCCAAGTAAATCCGAAGGCGGGGCGTTCCTTCTTGTACGCGTTGCGTAGCGAGCCAACTGTCACCCATCTGAAGCAAGTCCGTGATCAGCAAGCGACGACCCAGATCGAGCCACATCATAATTGTTGGGGTTTTGAGGATTCTAACACTTCTATGGTGTACATGCAACCCTAAATACCTTGGATCTATGTTTTCTCTATTATACATGCAAATATCAATTTCCAAGGTATTGTTCTAATTAGCATAATATAAAGTACACATAATATAAATTCTAGTAGAATTACATACCTTTTGGTTGGTGCTTGATTCCATGAAGCTCAAGAGCCTAGTGCCTCAAGTGTGACACCTCAAATGGTTCACACAAGACCATGAACATTTGGAATAACTTGAGAGAAAATGCACACTTCATGAAATCGACTTGCCCTCTACATACACACATAGTTGCCGATTTTTGCACAAGATATGATGCTTATATAGCTGTTACAATTAGGGTAAACCCTAATTGTCATGGCTTTCTATTTCCTTGGATCCATGGGTGCAAGTACACCATGTAGCATCCATGGAGTATCCTATGGGTTTTAGCCCAACTTGATAATCCATGGAGTCTTAGCCCACTATACAAGTATGGATGATTTACACAACCAACCCATATATTTAATTAGTATTCTTTTGATCACTTAATTAATTCTAGATTAATTATTTATTAATACTAATTAAATAATCTTATTAATATATTAGAACTTATAAAATATTAATAAACCTTAAGTGTTATTTCTCTCATTTTAGTCTACCCAAATGTATGATGCCATGCAACCCAAATGGACCATGCCGGATCAGGTCAAGTATATACCAATTATAGTTATGGACTTAGACACGAATCCAATAGTCTCCTACTTGGATAAGTCTAATAACTATTATTGCACGCCTTCACAACCCGACCAACAATCATAGCTCTTAAAAGTTGCTACCGAACACTGAACAAAACAATGACGCGTCTGTTAGATAAGTGATCATATATTCCTCCATTCTAGATATCGTATGGACTGAGACATGGATTATAATTATTTTCCCTATCCATTTGTTGTTTCTTGATGTCTGATTTATGATGACCAACTAATTGAACAAATCAAATCAGTCCAGGCTTGGCCAAGCACTTATGGGTGTCATCACTAAATCATTGAGGGGCCCACAGATATCACTTTTATCCCTTTAAGGGTAAAAGGAATGGATAAAATTTGACTCATATGCTTGTACCGATTACTTGTTGAATCATACACAAAGGCACGTTTTATAACATCGAGTTACCAATGTGTTTTCGTGCAATCAATGTATAATCAACTCATAGTTAACAACTCATATCTCTAGGTTCAAAGAATATAAGATATTATCGTCTCATGAATCACTCGTGATAAAATCCATGAAGTGATTCAAATGAGCGTGGGTTTAATCCAATACTCAGAACTTATGAGTACTCATGAATGTTGCAGCAACCATTGCTATGTCTAATGCACATTAGACAAACTATACAAGCCAAATTCATGACAGTCTTAAATCAATACCTACTTCCAAAGTATGACTGACTGTGGAGAGTTTGAATAACTTAGTCTTTCAGGAAGAACGACCTAGTTATTCTGGAAGTCAAAACATGCAAAGTGAAACACAAGAATAATACTAATCCTATATGGTCCCAAAGTCTTGAGTGTAAATAAAAACCCTTTTATCTAAGCACCATATTGATTACTCATTATTCATTGTTTCAATTTATCAACTTTATACTTGAATTTAAACACTAGTTGTCCCATGCTCCAAGCATGTACACTATCTTTTCTAAACAATAGCTATGCCATACTCCAAGTATGCACACTATGTTTGTCTTTACTTTGTGAAATAGACGAATTTGAACATAATTTCAATTATTTTAATTTCACAATCCCAAATCCTTTTTGTAAATGTAATAATATCAAACTCTTGCCATTTACTGTAATCTGTTAGATTCTAAACTTATATGCAATGATCCCCTTGTAATGACTATGCACAGAAGTCACAAAGACTTGGCAACAGACATTACATAGTATTCTAATGGAAAGCAATTCCATGAAAATGAAGTCTCAAATTCAAAGTACATTCCTTTGAATATCCTTCTTTGCATTAAGTTTTTCTAATCTTATACATATTAAAATAATAACTTCCACTAATGGAAACAATTCCATATTACCATTTTGACTCTCACTTCTGAACAAGAGTTGCCTCTTTTCTGAACATGTCAATATGGTCCTAACTATATACTTCCAATTATCCATGACAATTGGTTAATCAATTTAGTTATATCCAGTTCTATTCTCTTTTCCATCTTAATACCTTATGCATTTGGAAAAATTTAGAAAGTATAAATATTATAACACATGTAATAGATCATATACCCAAAGCATATGGGACACGATTCATGCTATAAAATTTTTGTCTTTCATGTTCTCATAATTTGAACTATGAAGAGGGATGT